TTTAAGGTTGAGCATTAAAGTTTTTTCAAACAACTAAGATATATATATGAATACATCCAGGGTGATAAATGTAGGTCACTGACAAAGATTTTTAACTTGAGCATTCTTTATATTTTCAAATATGAAATTAGAATATGATAATTTTGTTCCACATCATTTTATTCTTTTTGTACTATATTTGTTTGTATTAAATAAAAAAACAAACAATTATTTCAAGAATCAATCATACGCTTATGGAATGAACATCATTTTACCATTTTACAAATATTATGAAAATATGTATTACTAATTAGATATAGCTATATACATAGCTTTATATCCTTAAAAAACTGAAACTATTTAAAGATACTGTCTGGCCCCCAGCTTATATTTTAGATGATAAAGTAAAATTAAAAAGTATAGTTATTTCTGGACTGGTGTAACATAATATACTTGCATTATATTTTTTTATGTTACAGATTAGAACAGGACAAACCAACTGGTCCGAAGCATGTGAAGGAAAGAAAAGAGTCTGATAAGCAAGAGTCCTTGATGAAAGCAAACAGTGTTTCAACAAAGAGTTCAACTACAGTGAAGAGTAAGGGCAATTATAGACGTCCCGATTCTATTCCGACATGGAAAACACCACGGCCTCGAGAAATGTCCCCGCTGAGTCGAAAAACAACAAATATAAGTCAGGTCACTGAAGAGGAGGATACTGGCTTGTATGAAATAGCTGAAAATAATGACCAGGTTCAGACTGAAAAACGGGCTAAAAGTGCAGGATTTGTAAATCCAACTCCTTGGAAAATACCGTTAAAAGCCAGCGACCCTCCATATATAACAAACCTTACTGATGACTATCCCAGAGATGACTTCACGAAAATGCCTTTGGTTGAGTCGGCACCAAAATACTTTGATGGACGGGCTGGTCCAAGGTTATATAAGAAAGACGTCAAAGAGGGAAGTATTGATACTAAAAAGAAGTTACGGAAGCCAAATGTACCTAAAGAAATTGCTAAAAGAATAATGACTGATGATCCAACATTAGATGAACGACCTGTTTTATTTAAACCGAAGCACATCGCAGATGTTCAGGTAAAGAAAAAGTATGGCGATGAGGTGGTCGGGAAAAGTGAAGTTTCGCTTCATTTATGTGACGACATGTCGTCATTTTTGTTTAAAAACAGTTTGAATAAAGGAGCAGACTTTAACGTTGCTTCAAAGGGCAAACCCCTGACAGCGGAACATCGGAAACTTCTTGAGAACAACAGTATATTAGACTCCCATCCGAGTACGAGGTCCACGTCAACAAGTAACTGGTCATCAATAAAATTCCCGAGGGAACGGGTTCTACAATCCCTTCACATAATGTCAAAGCCAGGTGCATTTCCAGATATGAAAGGCGAAGAATACATTATTGGTAGTGGTCAGATGACAGTGTAATCTTGTCCTAGACTGCAAAATAGAGTGATAGCATAATATGCTACTAGGTAGTACCAGCGGTTCAAATTTGTGTACAAGAACAGTATTTTATGAGTAGACCTACATTGTTTGTCTGGTGTTACACCCCTTTACCTCTCTTCCTTACTTGCTGATTTGTTTTTGCTTTTCAGTTACGTACATGATGAAACTATCTTGCTTTTCAATTCTAGCATGACGAAACTATAGCTTTGTTTTGTGATGATTCTGCTGAATTTGTGTTTTGAATATGCATTGTATGTGGAGCTATTTATATTTATTTAGTAAATCAAAATAATTTTGAACAGATGGCTAATATGCAGATGCTTCTGAATTCAAAATTCATCACTGATATATTTAAATGTTGAATTCTGCTTAAGCCGATGCTAGGGGACGTGGAGGGTAGCTTACAACTTTCAGAACCGTCCATGAACCGGTTCAATCAAACAGAGCCTGCAACATTTTCAATTTTACTGTCTTGGGCATTCTTTAGGAATTTTTTTTCTATGTTATGTCACTTTTATCATAACTGTCATGTCAGTGTAATTCACAAAGTTTTTAATGTCCTCAAAACAAGACAAACAAAAAAAATAACCAAAAACAGTAATGCATGTTTATATAAAAATAAGTTTTTATATCAGAGTATTCATTGTATCTTAGATTTTGGGTTTTATAGCAGGGTTTCTTTCAGGTCTGGACTTTTGCAAATTGGGATCGAATGTGTCGAATTGTTATTTTTTGAGTAATTAAGCAGTTTAGATGTATTGTTAAATTTTTAATAACTGTTGATTTATAATACTTTTTCTGGGTAAAAACTGGAACTTTTCCGTAGATTTGGAAAGAATACATTAAATGCACCAATCACTGTTTGTAAAGATTTATTTCTTGAAAATTAAATGTAATATGTAATGTTGAGATACATGCATACAAAGATTTTGTCAAAACATACTGGTTGGGGACCACCAAAACCAGGTAACCACCAAACTCGGACGGCCCCAAAAATGCTTAATTTATTTTTTTCCTTTGTTCAGTGGTTGTCGATCTATCAGTCACTTTTTTAACAACAATAAATGCATGTTTCTTCCTAAATTAAGTAATTAAATTTATTTTAAGGTAATATTTTAATGTCTACTTCAAGAATGTTGATGTTGAAAATTTGGGCGTTAGGAGTGCAATACCTGAACTCATATACCAGTTATAATAAACAATAAAATATCCAAAACGTCAGCAAATGCTGCTAAAATATTGTTAATCATGTTAGAAATAAAAAATTAAAATACCCAAGCATTTAAATGAATTAAATAACATCATGTACATATCTGTCAGGAAGAGCCTCAGATATGTCAATATAATCAGAAATAGTCAAACTACTGTGTTAGTTAGGAGAAGAACCGAGCTGTACTGTGTCAAATTTTTAGGTCTCTAGGTTTGAAATTATGAAATCTTTATGGAAAAATGCTCAAAAAGTGTCCAGTTGATGGTCCCCGACCAGTAGTGCAGTTTATTTACTAATAAAATGCTGTTTTACTTTTCAATAAATAAATTTCAACTACCTTTTTTATGCAAAAAAAAACTGCTTGTAAACAGATGTTAACAAGCACATCTTTTATGTACTTAGAATTGTGTTTTAACTACTTGAATAGCCATCTGTTATACTTAATTGAGCACCTTATTTAATTTTTACAAGTGTTGAAATGTTTATCTTGTGCATCTATTATTTTAAATTCACACATTGTTATATACAACTTTATTTCACTGCCATTATAATCTTTTAAGCTTTATCATGTTAATCAAATCTTGATACATGTATTTTTTTTAAACATGTGTCCTAAGCCTTAGTTTAACCCCTTGTTCTGTTGATCTTCTTATACGGACTTGTCCTGGTTCTATTTTCGTTATTTTCATTATCAATTTTGGGTTAAGCAAGAAGAAATATTGAAGCATGTTAGCCAGCAGTATAGAGCCTGGCCCTGTGTTCACAAAGAATTGAGGATCAGAATCAAATTTAAAACCTCAAAAATATTATCCATAAATCATGTAATTGTTTATCTTCATATGTTAAATATCTAATATTTTCTGATAAAAGTAGACTTAAATTAACATGTTTATGAAATTTTAGAATATATTTATTGCTATTTTTGAAAGATATGAGCATTTTACAACTAATCCATATTTTAATCTGAATCCTAAAGTTAATCCTTATTTTGTTCCAATTATGTTTGTATTTGTTTTGTTACTCATCGATTTTATCCTAAATAGGTTTACTTCTTTTCAAATCAGCAATTTTTTACATTTTAAATATGTACCATATCAAGCAAAATATGATCAACTTTAGTTTTATAAAACAGTGAAAATATAATCAGGATCATTTGATCCTAATATCCTGATCTTTTTTTTGTGAACACTAGTCCTGGTCAGACTGCATAGATATGCAAACTGGTCTGGCTCTATACTTGTGGCAAAGTTCTTCTTTCATTCCTACATTGTAATACTTAAATGCCTTAATAAATTGTGATTACTGCTGTTACAAAGTAAATCTGTGATATGTATGTTTTAGATGTTTATATTTGCCGTGTCACAACAAAACCAACATAGTGCGTTTGAGACCAGCATGGATCCAGACCAGCCTGTGCATCTGCGCAGTCTGATCAGGATCCATGCTGTTCGCTATCAGTTTCTCTACTTGTAATAGAGTTGGTAAGCGAACAGCATGGATTCTGATCAGACTGTGCAGATGCCCAGGCTGGTCTGGATCCATGCTGGTCGCAAACGCACTATGTTTGTTTTGTCATGGCGCGGCTCATATTTGTTTATTATTAACTTACAAAATTGAAAGAATAGGATAAAATATTTCAATTTGTGGGGGTAGTGTTATCACATAATGAAAATGAAAACATTGAAAATCTGTAAATCAGAACTGTATTAGATCTATATTTATTATATTGTCTTTGATAGTGTATGTTCATTTTATGAAAAACAATGCTTAAAAGAATGAATGTCACATGAATAGTGAATATTTCTGTACTTTTTAAATTCTTTATCTTTTTTTTACAAATTTTGATTTTTTTTTAAAATACATTCTCTTTCAGAAGCTTGCAGCTTTAAGTGTTTGCTTAATTTATAGTTCTGATTTTTTTTGTAATTATTAAACAGGGTTTATAGAATATATTGTGTACACTTTACTACCGTTAGTGTTTTGTTAAAGATATCAAGTTATAGGAGTGAATAAACAGAAAATTTATTGTTGAAATGTTAAGAAGGTTATCAAAAAAAAAATTTTGTTTAGAAATTTATCAATAAATTTTCTCTCAGAAGATACACTTGTTTTCTTATTTATGGACCTATTTTACAATTAATCAAAGGGCCCATTATGCCTAACGGCTTGCCTCTGACAGGGGTTTGAAACCATGCCGCCAGCTATCCTTAGATTACTTGTCTGACGCCTTGGTTCAGTATTTCAACTGCAAGACCAACTGATTTCACAAACTGATATTACATATATGTCGGACCGTCATATATCTGATAAAGAGCCCTGGAGCAAAATTTGATGGGCTATTTGTAAACGACTGCCAAGTAGCCAATCATTGTTTGCTATTCAGTATATTGAAATTTCCCTTAAAAGAGATTAATAGTTTAGAGCATCGAAAAAATAGACAAGCTTTTTAAGATTAAGATATTAAACTTGGTAATTAGTGTTAATCACTCCGAGAAGCATAAAAATTTATACAGAAATTAGTGTACACTTGCCTTTCTTAAAGTAAATATCACGAATAAAAATTCTCACGAAATTCTCTGACCAGGAATGAAAATTAAATATTAATACTGTAATTAAGCTATATTCCATAATTTCAGCCATAAAATATATATCTAGCCATGTGGTTTTTATATTTGTTGAGCTGGCTTGCTCTGTGCATCCAAATTCTTGTTGTAACATTGTCTATTGGTGAGTATTCCATTGAAGTCTTGTATTTTCGCGACCTGATTGTCGAGGTGTCATATTTTTTTAAATTTTTTTTTTGATCACTGTAGTGGTTACGTTAAATATTTCATGGATAATATTTAGTAAATACTTTATTTAGTATATTTAGAGACAATTTGCACTATGAAACCTCGAAAAAAAACACAGACTTAATTATTTCACAGAGCTATATAACATAATTTGATATAAGCATGATAAGTCTGATTATTTGTAATAAAATCCGTTATAAGCCTGCATTTTAAATCCCATGTCTCAAAGTCTGTGGCCCTCATATTCTTGTGACATCTTTATCTTGTCATTACTTATGACATATTTGGGAATTTAGTCTCTTATTTTGTTCCTATAGCAGGCCTGTTTAACTGTTTAAGGCAATGAGGGTAGCTACTTTATAATCATACTGGTTGAAAACCACCAAAACCGGGCAACCACCCAACCCGGACTGCCCCGAAAATGCCTTTTTTGTTGGTTCATTGGTTGTTGATATATCAGTCGCTTTTATATCAATAACTGCATGTTTGTTCTATAATTAAGTAATTAAATTTATTTCAATTTTCTTAAACGGTAATATTTTAATGTCTTTTTCAAGAACGTTGACATTGAAAATTTTGACTTCAAAAGGTATCTTAGTCTCACTGGTTTAAATGCTAATTTCATATAAATGTTTTTTTACAGCTGCTGGACTTTATTACTTAGCAGAATTAGTTGAGGAGTATACGGTGTTTACAAGTAAAGTCATCAGATATTTGATCATAGTAAGTTGAAACTTTCTCTTGATTTATGTATTTGAATTTTCAGTACTCAATGAATTGTGTGTATTGTAAATCTTATGATTATTTAGTAAAGACTAAAGTAGGTGGTTATTTTTCCATTTTAAAAGCTATTTAATAAGGACAATACTATAAATAGTATTGATGAAGCTTTATAAATTTTTTTATGCAAGATCATATTTATGGTAATCAGCATGCCCACTCAATGTATATGTACCCCCTATCATTGAAAATTGAGGGTAGTTTTAAAAAAAAATTGGGGTAGACAAAAGTTCAAGCATGTTTTGTGTGTATACTAATTTATATGCAAGTCAAAACATATTTTTGTCCAAAAAAAAAAAGCTCAAGAATTGATATTTATGAACAGCTAGTTGCTTCACTTTATTACTACCCACTAACGCAAGCATGCACTCATCACTTGAGGCTGTAATCTCGCAATAAAGCTAGAAGACTTACATTCTTTTTAAGTTCAACTTAAAAAGAATGTAAGTCTGTCTAGCTTTATTGTGAGCTGCTTACAAGGAAGTGTGCTTTTCTTTGTCTTTGATTGAACTGTTCAATCAAAGACAAAGAAAAGTACACTTCCTTGTAAGCAGCTCATGTTATTTAAGAATATTTAATATTTATTCATTTCAGTTTAATACATCGGTGTACATATGTCTGTTACTGTTTGAAGAGATGCCATTTTTCACCATACTATTTGGACTTCTTGGGAATGGTGCATACTTTTTACTGCTGAGGGAATTTCCATATTTTGCTCTGTCGTCACCAGGATTCATAGGTTCTGTTGGTAAGTATTTAAACAAAGTGTGGGTTAGTTTCAAGTCCTGAATGATTAATATTTTTACATAGAAATATTGCAATTATCTGTTGACTTGCACATTTTTGTAAGCAGTCAACATTACCTGTAATTATAAAAGGAGCTATTGCTGTGTGATGCAATACATTTCCCAAAAATTTGCAGAATTTGTTCTTTTATTCTAAGTAGTTAACACATAAAATAAATGTGCAGTGATTTTTGGGAAGCTATCCAGCTACCTTACAATAGATCGGGAATTTTTAGCTGTCGTTTGATAAATTGAACAGAGACTCATGTTCTTCCACCAGAAGGGAAAACTTAAAAACTCAGTGTGTTTAACCTCAGCAGTGAACTACATTTTTGTATTCATTAAATACTTTGTAATTAGGCTTGACCAGGCACATTCATAGAATCTGTTTAATAACTGCTGAATTGCTTTCTCAAAATGTACCAATGCAACTCATATAGTCTGGTTTTAATACAAATGTACACATCTTGGGGCTCATTCTGCCTAAAGCTATTTTAGCCTTTTGCTAAAAGTTCACTAATTTGGCTACAAAAAAATTGTAATTTTGCTAAAGGATATCTTGTGTATGAAAACTTCTTTAAGCCAAATTTAAATGTGATTGTCTGATTTCTTATAATTTTTTTTTTATCTACATGTACATGTAAATAGCACATCATAGATATTTAACAGATTCCATGCATTCTTGTACCTGCTCTTGCCTAATTAAAAGGATTGCCTGAAGTAATCTTAATTAAGTCCTCATATATGACCTAAGCTGTAGTGATATGACTTAAAAACCGGAAACCAATAGAAAACCTTTCCTACTACAGTATATGAGCCGCGTCACAACAAAACCAACATAATGCGTTTGCGACCAGCATGGATTCAGACCAGCCTGCACATCCCCACAGTCAGATCAGGATTCATACTGTTCGCTTACCAACCCTATTACAAGTAGCAAAACTGATAGCGTACAGCATGGATCCTAATCAGACTGAACGGATGCACAGGCTGGTCTGGATCGATGCTGGTCGCAAACGCATTACATTGGTTTTGTCATGGCACGGCTCATATTATGATTGATATGATTCATGTATGTGTAATAGTGAATCTTTACTTATTTCAGTGTCAGTTGTTCTGAATCATTACCTGGCATTTTCACATTTTACACAAGAATGGTATCCTTTCCATGAGGTAATGTAACAAGTAGCAGTTTTGTTTGTTTTATTCAATTAAAGGAGAGCACCAGTTCTCCAGATCTGTGTTAATAATTTATGAAAATTGTATATAATAGTTTAAATAGTGTCTTGTGTACAAAATATTGCTTTTTATATAGCTCAGCGCACTTGACATACCTTTCATATATATATAAGTAGATACATGTATAAGGTTTGATATTATGTACAGAAAATTATAAATAAAATGTGATTCATGTAATAAACAGCTAATCTTTGAGGAAGAGAAGTTTAACCCTGGAAACCTTGTGAAATAGATAGTAATTTATCAATTGTTTCCAAAGTTATTTCATTTTTGGTAGTTTTTCTGTCTTTCCAGTATTATACTTCCTTTAAGGGGAAACTTGATCTGCTCCCATTTTTTTTCCTTCAATAAATAATTGAGCCGTGTCATGACAAAACCAACATAGTGCGTTTGTGAGCAGCATGGATCCAGACCAGCCTGTGCATCCACGCAGTCTGATCAGGATCCATGCTGTTGGCTTACAAACCCTATTATAAGTAGAGAAACTGATAGGGAACAGCATGGATCCTGATCAGACTGCCCGGATGAGCAGGCTAGTCTGGATCGATGCTGGTCTCAAACCTACTATGTTGGTTTTATCATGACACAGCTTATATGTTTTGTTAGTCCATTATCATGTCCCTGAGAAAGATTTATGTTGTATTTTCAGGTACTGGCCTATTTTACAGTATGTCTATGGATGGTACCGTTTGCTTTCTTTGTTTCATTATCGGCTAACGAAAATGTTTTACCAACAATGGCCGAGCGACCACCCATGATGGGCGCTGAAACAGACGTTGTCTCAAATTATTTCAGTCGCAAAGGAAAGAAATATGGACTCCTTTCTATGCTTAAAACTGCCCAGGAAAGCATGTTGCCTCAAAGGGTGAAAAAACATTTTTGAGGAGGTTTTGTGTAGTTTTAAAAACATTTGCATGAGATTTAAGAAAACCATTTATTTTATGATTTGCCCAATTTTTTGTGATGCCATATTCACATTTAAATTGTATTAGATATCCCTCCAATTCATAGCCTGTGAAATAACAAAGTTTATAAATTTTGTCTATAGCTGTATAGAAATATATGATACATGTAAAATCAACTTATGCAAGCTTGTTTTGATATATATTGCGTTAATTTTTATCAGAAGATTCACGTATTTCATGTAAAGCATGTACCTTTATTTATAAATATATAAATATATTTGCATTATCATTACCCTTAACATGACCAAAGAAATTACGTTTTTTTTTAGAAAATCAAAATGAAAAGTTCACAATTGACATTCTGGTGCAAATTTTTTTTACTAAGTTATTAATGTGCCAAATCTTAAAAGTATGTAATTTAAGCACTGATATTTTGGAACACTGATTTTTTTCTTTGGAAAATCATCATGTAAGTGGAACACAGACAGGAAGTCAGTCTACTAACACTTTACTGCCATTGGCCAATTTCAAATCTCTATTCTGATTCAACCAATAAGATACTTGCTTTTTTAGACTGGTTTTAAAACTAAAGTTTTATGATGAAAGGGGGGATTTAGATGTTGTGATTTAGCCATAATAGAAGTTTGGAGAAATATAAATTATTGTATGGGATTTTAATGGGATTAATCCAACGAGAGGGGAATTTTCATTTACGGTTGTAATGGGATGTAACATTGTAGTTACTATTTATAGAATAGACTTGAGGGATAAAGCATTTAAAGGCGCTTTGTAATAATGTATAATGTTATTTTTAGCTCACCTGTCACAAAGTGACAGGGTAGCTTTGTGACGTTTTCGTACGGCTTGTAAACTTTTCTCTAAATGAATCTCTATAGAACCACTAAGCATTTCATCAAACTACAGGATGTTCCATTGTGTCATTTGAAAAATTGTTAGAATTTAATTTCATGCAGAATCATTGCCATGGAACCGAAAGATATTTTTTAAATATCTTCTTTTAAAAACCAAGAGCTAGAGCTTAATATTTGGCATGAAACGATCTTTAGTGATGTTAATAAAAGCTCCTGGGGTCAAAATTGGCGCCCAGGTATTGATTTTCCTATATGCATATAGTAAAAACTTAAAAATCTTCTTTTAAGAACAAAGGTAGACTAAGATATTTAGCATGAACATGTTCTATGGGTGTCACCAAGTTGTTAAAAAAAGCCTGGTCAAAATTGGCCCTGCCCAGGGGTCATTGATTTTCCCTATATGCATTAAAAAATCTTTTTTAAAGAACTCAAAGAGCTAGAGCTAAGATATTTAGCATGAAACATGTTCTAAATGGTAATGCTACCAAGTTCTGTGTGCAAATAAAAGCCCTGGGTCAAAATGGCCCGCCGGGTCATTGATTCCTTATATGTTTAGCAAAAACTTGAAAAATCTTCTTTGAAAAACCCAAATACTAAGTTTAGTATTAAACATGTAAACATCTGCTAGTAATTGTCTCAAATTTGTTCAAATACAAACCTTGAAAAATGGCCCACCAGGTTTAATTGTTTTTACTATGATTGTATAGTAAAACTTCAAAAAGCCTTGTTAGAATTGCTGCCAGGAGTGGGAGGGGTATTTGTTTTTAGCAACTTAAGTTTAGAAAAATGTAAATTCATGCAGTTTCTATGGGTTCCTTACACAGTTTGTTTCAAATTAAAACCTGGTTTAATTGGACCCTTCCGCTTACCTGTGAAAAGCGACTATGAATATACATAAGGGTAGGCGTTGACTGAGGGCCTAAAATGGTCCTACTTTTTATTGTTAAGTGAGCAAATTTAAGTTGCTTCAGTATATGATAACAAATATATGTGCTCTATTTTGTTTATTAAGAATAGTAGTGTTTTTTTATAATTTGCATGTTTCACTGTTGCATTAAAGCATGAACAAAATATTTGTAAATTGTGTTTTATTCATCTGGTTCTGTTGCTTGAAGAAGAAAATGCTTTATTTACATAAAGATAGAATTTTATGGTGCTGTTTTATTTGCATATTTATTATTAATAAGCTAACATCTTCACTGCTAGGCTGCAGCAACTTGTATGTGGTGTTTGCAGAAACTAGCAGCTTAGAATGACAGGCTCTCGGTGCTTTGTGCTGAAAAGCAGAGGCACCGAATTCCTTACCAGTAACTGAAGTGCTAATGTATGCTCTTCTTGTGGTGCAATAACAAACAAATAAAAAGCAGAGAAAATAATTAAAACATACATGTGTGTAATATAATAATAAGTTATTGTATTTTGAATACACTAATATCCACTTTAATGAAGGCAAAGTTGTATGAATGATTATTCACTTCAACAAGTAAGAAGTTCTCAGGACTTTTTTTCTTCTTTAGTCCTCAAAAATTGTTTTAATGTGCAGTTTTCCAAACATTCGTCTGTCCAATGTAAATAATGATTAGGTTAGGACCTTCCTTACCTGTGAAAAAGCTGACTTTGAATATTTTGTAACGGTATGCTTCTGTTTGAGGGTCTAAAATGTTATTCTTGTTAATGTTGGAATTCATTGTTCAGATTTTATACAATTCGATAACCCACTTTGTAATGAATAAGTTTGAGGTTCAGATTCTCGTACAGTTTATAACATATTCATCATAAGGCCATCCTTAAAAAAATGTTTGTTTGCAGTAACCCGACCCAGAATTTTCAAGGTGGGTAGGTAGGTCGATTTTTTTTTTTTTTTTTTATTGAACTGTTCTCCCAAATAAGCATGGAATTTCAAAATGCTGGACAATATATGCTTTGATAATCTGGTAACAATTAATTTAATAAGACCTACATTTTATTTCTTCTATTAACCTTTAAAAGAACGAAAACAAAGCACAAGGCATAATTTTCTGATTCAAAAAAAAAAAAAATTATCCAGACCATGAAAAAAAATTTTGAGTAGGGGCAAATTTTGTGAGTCGGTCGCGTTACTGCAAACAAAAATTTTTTTAAGGATGGCCTAAAGTGAAACAGTGTTTCTATTTTGTACACTTAAATGTTGCCAAATTTTCACATTTTTTTACTTCAAAGGTCAAAGCCAATTTAAGATTGAAGGAAATGTCTTCATTGAATAAATTTGTGTATAACTTTAATAAAAAAAATTAATGTCTAATAAACTCTTATGTCTTATACCTTGGTTTCCTAATTTCACACATGCAAAGAATATGTGGTTTACTCAGGTTTTGTAAAGTAAAATAGATCTAGATGTCTTAAAATGTTTATGTACTGGCCTGAGTTATGACTACCACTCAACACAAGGGTCATAGGTTTAAGCCTTACTTGGTCCTGACCTTGTTGTTTCCTGTTTTGACACCAGTGCAGTATGTACTAGAATGTAAAAGGAATTGGACATGAGAGTGGTTTAAATAATGGTCAAGCTTTCACAACATTTGAGCCATAATGGATGTGTTGAACTCTTAGCCTGCTAGGGGTAACTAAATCATTCCATGCAAGCATTGCAGGTCAGGGTCAGTCAACACTTGCTTGCCATCTGATCATGGCCTGCACTGTTCGCTGTTTAATCAGTTCTTACTTAAAAAATGTCACTAAAATGATGAATGGTTTTGTCTAGATTGAAAGATGAATAAATATATGTAAGCTATTTAGCATGGCACATGTAGTAAGGTTTAAAGTAAATTAACTCCTTTTGAATACCTATTGTGATATTGATTTACCTATGCCGCCGATATATAGAGGCAGGTCTGACAGATCTGATTTACTGTTAGATTCTTACTGTGGCACCCTGCATGACATCAGTTTGTTTAGTGTTGATGGTTTGTCAAATTTACTTACATTATGATTATATAAACAACAAAATAATAAATGCAATACTGTCCCGATTTGTATATGCATGTACATTATGGTCTATGTAATTGTTTTTATAAATGCTTTATATTAATGTGAAAGAGAGATTTTATGTTAAAATATTTTTGGCTAAAGAATTGTCGTACTATTCTACTTGCTCTGACTTTGTGTAACACTTGACAAAGCTTAATATTTACAGCCAACAAAGTTACTTACTCTGAACTCAATACATGTACATATCTTTGGGCCCGTAATCATATCACTTTGAACATCCTGGGCGACTTCAAGAAGTTGTATGAGAAAGCCGAGTTGTTATGAGTATAATTGTAGTGTGTTGAGCAAGACAAATAACTCTAGTTATGAATTGTACTGAATTACTTCCCTTTGTGAGGATCTAAAATTTGCTATTCTAATTATAGGTAGGGATTAGAAAGAATTATTTTCATTTTGAATGTTCATAACAGAATGGTTGTACTTGTACTCAATGTAATCGAGTTGCGTCACGACAAAACCAACGTTATGCGTTTGCGACCAGCATGGATCCAGACCAGCCTGCGCATCCACACAGACTGATCAGGATCCATGCTGCTCACTATCAGTTTCTCTACTTGTTATAGGGTTTGTAAGCGAACAGCATGGATCCTGATCAGACTGCGCAGTTGCGCAGGCTGGTCGTGATTCATGCTGGTTGCAACGCATTCCGTTGGTTTTGTCGTGATGCGGCTCATATTTAGTTGAGCGCTCATTATGCCAATTTATTCTTTATGTCAGTGTTGCATGTTTAATGTATGTCAGATGAAAAGTTCGCTCATTTCAGTCTATAGTTTGATACAGTTTGACTGTAAATATTTGTTTTATTCTGTTTATTTTCATTTTTTTTTATTTACAAATACAGAAATAATTTGGTGCAAAAATTTTCCTGTGTTGTTTTTCTAAAAAAGAAATTTCTTATAAGGTATAAAATGATAGTATGCTGTCCGTAAATGCGCAGATCATTTCTTTGTATTTTGACGAGAATTATAAATATGATAAATAAAAGGTACCGTTATGAAAGAACAATGCATGTTAAGTTTCACTAAATCAGGGGGTGTAGATACAAAATGTAAGCAATCACCTCTTAACCTCCTGCTTGCTGGTGTAACATGACAGGAAATCTGTGTAACATGACAGGAAAACTGTAACACATGACAGGAAAACTGTAACATGACAGGATAACTGTGTAACATGGCAGGAAAACTGTTAAACATGACAGGAAATCTATGTAATATGACAGGAAAACTGTGACATGGCAGGAAATCTGTGTAACATGGCAGGAAAAACTGTGGAACATGACAGGACATCTCTGTAACATGACAGGAAAACTGTGTAAACATGACAGGAAAACTAATAACATGACAGGAAAACTGTGTAACATGACAGGAAAACTGTGTAACATGACAGGAAAACTGTGTTTTATGACAGGAAAACTGTGTAACAGGACAGGAAACCTGTAACATGACAGGAAAACTGTGTAACATGACAGGAAAACTGTAACATGACAGGAAATCTGTGTAATATGACAGGAAAACTGTAACATGACGGGAAAACTGTGAACATGACAGGAAAACTGTAACATGACAGAAAAACTGTGTAACATGACAATGAAAACTGGTGTAACATTACAAGTAAAAACTGTGTAACATGACAGTAAAAATGTGTTTCATGACCGGAAAACTGTGTAAAATCGACAGAAAAAAACTGTGTAACATGACAGGAAAAACGCTGTGTAACATGACAGAAAAACTGTTAACATGACAGGAAAGTTGTAACATGACAGGAAAACTGTGGAACATGACAGGAAAACTGTAACATGACAGGAAAACTGTGTACATGACAGGAAATGACAAGAACCTGTAACATGAAGGAAAACTGTAACATGACAGGAAAACTGTGTAACATGACAGGAAAACTGTGTAGCATGACAAAAAAAGTTGTAACATGACAGGAAAACTGTGTAAC